TAGTGCACACTGCTGTGGGGCCCGCGTGCAGCCTATGTGAGCGGCACTAAGGATCAAACTCTGGGCCTCAACTTTGCAAGGCTTTTTGCCCCGGGACGATCTCTGGGCCTTACCAAGTGTTTTAAGTTTTCTGACTTAACTCTAAGAGGAGGAAAAGCAGGAGCTGGAGGGATAGCACAGCAGGGAGGGCATTTGCCTTGCACGCAGCTGACCTGGGTTCGATTCCCAGCATCCCATATGATCCCCCAGCACTGCCAACAGTAATTCCTGAGTGCATGAGCCAGGAGGAACCCCTGTGCAATGCCGGGTGTGGCCCAAAATGGGGAAAAAAAAAGAGGAGGAAAAGGAGAAAAAAGATTTTATTTTGTTGTGGGGGCTATTTTTTTCCTGGTAGGGGCTACTCCCAGCCTGGTGCTCAGGCAGGGATCCCTTAAACCAAGCCGTACAGGGAACTGAACCCGGGGCTCCTGCATCCAAAAGGATGTACTTTTTTTAAATTGTAACAGAAACCAGTTAAATATACTCCAAAGGATTCTTTCAAATGAGTCAGGTTTAAGTATCGTTTGGAGCAGGATATATATTAACACCAGTATTACTTCCAAGGCACCAGGAAATGAGTCAATAGCCAGCCTTTAGCCCAGCATAGTAGCTGGTTTTACCTATGAGGAAAAAAAAAAAGAGAGAGCCATTCATTATACCAAATAATTATAGTTAGCTACTTTAATTCTTGTTTAGGCCAATGGCTAGGAAGACACACAAGGTCAGACTACTGTACATCCAATAATAGCAAGAACTCAAGTTAGATTCTTTTTGGCCTCTAATTTTTCCTTTAAACTTGAGAACTTTGAACTAACTCTACTTTGGCAGTAAATCTTACAAAGTCTCTTCAGAGATACTAAAATGCATTTGCCCAAGACTTAGAGAGCCAAGGGGCTGGAGCCATAGCACAGCGGGTAAGGCATTTGCCTTGCACGCGGCCGACCTGGGTTTGATTTCCAGCATCCCATATGGTCCCCCGGGCACCGTCAGGAGTTAATTCCTGAGTGCATGAGCCAGGAGTAACCCCTGAGCATCACCATATGTGACCCAAAAAAGCGAAAAGAAAAAAAAAAAAAAAGACTTAGCCAAGAGAGAGGGTTTCCACAGCGAAACCAGCACAGTAAGAATGTGAGCAGCCCAGAAAGGGAAAACATAGCAATTAAATAATGTGAAACCACCTGACTGTCGGATATGGCAACAGTGGAGGAGCTCAGAAAGCCTACCTCTGTATTTTGGTGTTCTGCTATTTTTTTGCCTTTGCAAGTTCGTGTAATTGTAGTAAATCCTGCTTTTGAATCTTGTAACCGGTTTCTCCCAGTTTTAATCATACCGCACTTTTAAATCAGAAAATTAGATACTGAAAACTTACAACCTAGTGGTACAAATTCGGCTTGAGCTGTCCCAGAAATCTAACTGGTAATTGTGCTCACGGCATGAACCATCTTCATGGGGCCGCGACGACTATTCCATACCTGCTTCGGGCACGCACAGAAGAGCACGCAGTTTAGAAGCCTGGGTCCAATCTGTTATTGTCCCGGGGAACCAGCAAGCAGAGGAGAGATGGAAATGGCAGAAATGCCCGCAGAGCCAAACATGCGGCTGCTGTATTGTCCAAGTGGACTGGGGCTTTGAAAGGCAAGTGTTTTCAGTCTTTCAAGGTACTGAAGTGGGAGTCATGCCCAGCACAATTAAGACGGGATTACATTGCAATTTATGAGTTTCTCAAGGATGTCATTTAATATGAAATACAACAATCATTTCTCCCAAAGCCTGCCATCTACAATCCCACCTCCAAACGCGGCTTCGCTAAGGCAATAAACTAAATGGCACCACGGCAGGCAGCTAAGACTTTTGAGACCAATTGCAGGTAATGTGGTGCTTTCCACCAACTCCGGTAATAACCAGAACTTACAACACAAACACGCACGCGTGTCACACACACACACACACACACACACACACACACAGAGCAGTTTCACGTCTCCTACGCGCAGGGTCTTCTGAGAGGTCATGAAGTGGCCAAAGCAGTAATTCACGTTTCCCATTTTACAGAAAATGAAACGCTCGAATTTGCCAGCCTCCACTTGCAGACTTTTAAGTCTCTGAGACTTAAAAGGCCGAAGCTCTTCCAAGCACCAATCCTGATGACTCGAGAGAAGACCGGTAATCCCCTTGCCCGAAGACCCAACAGGCCGAAGAGGGAGCCGAGAGAAGGGGCGCCACCCCACCGCCCCTCCGGGACCCCGTGGGAGCGCGAAGCTGCTGGCAGCAGAGCATCCCCCCCCACCCACCTCCGGAAAAAGCATCCCAAACCCGACTGCCCGGCACCAAGGGGAGCAAGCCACAAGGTGACCCTCCCGCAAAAGCCCCCAAGTCTAAGCTCGCGCCAGTTTCCCGGCTTTTCCCCCACCCCCGAAGTCAGGGGCACACCACGGCCGCGGCTACGCCCCCCGCCCCTGCAGCCCCCCAGCGGAGGAGGAGGCGTTCCTTGCAGCGGGGCGGGAGGCGGGCCCCTGGGCGCGCTCGGCGCGGGGTGGCCCCGGCCGGGGTGGCCCTCACCTGGAGGCCGAGCGCGCGGGGACCCAAGCCCCGCGGCGGCAGCCGCCCCCGGACGCGCACTGGAACCTCCCGCCCGACTTCTGACGTCACGGAGGCTGGGGGCCCCCGCTGGCACCCGGGCCCGGCCCTTTGTGACGTCACAATGACAACAGAGCGCGGCGCGGCCGGGCCCCCGGGAGCCGCGCGGCGGGGGAGTGGGCGGCGGAGCCCCGGGGGTGCGCGCTGACCTGTTGCTCCCGCCGCCGGGCGACGGGCCGGGACACGGGGAGCCGCGGGGCGGGGCGGGCCCGGCCGCGCCGCCGCTGCCACCGCCGCCGCCGCCATGGCCGGGCTGGGCCGCGCGCGCGCGCCGGGCGGGGGGCGCCCGCCGCCGCCGCCGCCGCGCCGCCGCCCCCTCCCCGCCGCGCCCCGCCGCCGCCCCCCGCGCCGCGCCGTGCCGCGCCGCGCCCCGCCCTCCCTCCCGCGGCCGGCCCGGCCGGCGGCGCCCGCAGCCCGCAGCCCGCAGCCCGCAGCGCCGGGGCGCGCCCCCTACAGGCCGGCCGCGGCCGCTCAGCCCAGCCTGGCCCGGCCCGGCCCGGCCCGGCCGCCCGCCGCGACCCCCGCGCGCCCTCCCCTCGCCTGCCCTCGCCCCGGCGGCTCCGCCGAGCCAGCCCCGCTCGGCCCCCGCTCGTGCCCGCCGGCCGCCGCCAGCCCCGCGGGGCTCGGCACCAGCCGCTGACCACCCGGCAGCGCGGGGCGGGGGGTGTGGGGTGGGGGGGGGGGGAGAAAGAAAAAGGAAAAAAAAATAGAAAAAACCGATCCCCGCCCCACGGGGCTCTCCAACTTAGCGAGGCGCCCCGAGCCCGGTGCCCGGAGCGCGGCGGCGGGGACCCAGGGCAGCGGCGCCTCGGCCAAGTTGTGCCGCATTCGCCGGGTGGCTGCTCCCCACCCACGCGCCCACCCCCGAGAGCGGACGGGGCCCCGGGCGGGCGGTGCACGCTCCCAGGCAAGCCCGTCTACCCCGCCGAGCCTCCAGCCCGAGTTTGAGCGAGTCCCTTTGCATCCTCGCCAGCCCTCTGCAATGCGGATGTCTTTTAATTCTTAAATTCTTTAGGGAGCAGCTTGGGTGAAGTTGGGATTGATTATTTTTAACCCTGCGTTTCTTTTCTTTCTTTCTTTTCTTTTTTTTTTTCTCTTCTGGTTAAAGTTTACGTGTCTTTAAGATTAGGATCACCGTGGTCCTGTGGCGGAGGCATTCAGCTTTTCCATGAAATACATTTTTTTTCTTTTAACAAAACCGGGTCTCGGAAGGTCATCTCCCATTACACACATCATACCGCTCCAAAAGGGAAAATATTAACGCCGATTTGTCGACACGAGTTAAATAAAACTTTCTTTGAACGTTGCATAATTCCCAATGTATGCTCGCCTGGCCCTTCTTTTTTTCTTTTTCTTAAAGAAAAAGAAAATGGGCTCTTTGATTTAAAACATGCTGCTAATCACCGATCACTCGAGTGCATATTTGGTTAATCCCTCGGTCCCCCTCTCCGGTCTCTCCCCCTCAAACTTAAGGGGGGGGGGAGCCAACACACAAAACAAAAACACTCCCCATGCCAATCAAAACGTAGCTGCACTATGCACAAAACAAATTTAACTATTCCAGACCATTTAAACCTCTGAATAAGCACCCAACTGCAGAAGCCCAGTTAGCAGGGAGAAATCATCTACAGTCACAAATGCATCCACATACCTACTTCCAAACATCACCTCTACTCGGATGCTTTTCTCCTACCCCTGGAAAACCATGAATTTTTAAATAAAACCAGCCCCATTATTAAAGTCAATCCCAACAAATGCATTCGCTGTAACACGATTCCCAACTGGTTTAATGTTGCGAACCAGATAAGCCCAAACGACCACATACATTAAATTTGATGTGCCAGTTGCAAGGAACAGGATCGCCATAACCGGACCTCGATCGCAACTTAAGGGGCTTCCAACACTCACGCGTTACACGATTTCCTAAATAACATTAATAAAAAACAGGCTTATTTGCATGCAAAGTGCAATATGGGGCCAAATCCGCCGGAGACGGCAGTTTAGTTAAATTCCCGCAGCCCCAGCCCCCCACCCCCCGACCTCCACACCAAAATCCCTTGCCTTTCATCTAAAACTAGATTATGGTTGTGTCATCCGAGGTCAATTTATTCACTTGAGGTATCTCTACACCGATCTGTTTTTTTCATCCCAACTAGGCAGACACGACTTTGCCTGAAAAGCCCTCTTTCAGGAAAGAAAGAAAACAGCCCTATCGGACGATGTGTTTTAGAAACCCTTCAGCTGCAGAATTATCTATAAACTTGACATTCACAGCCCTGGCTGAAAAACTGCAAGTCAAAGGATGTGTTGTTAGGAGCACTTACGTATTTCTTCTGAATGATATTCCTCTTGGGTCTTTCCTTGCTCATTCTGAGATCCAAACGCTGGTTGCAAAAGAGGACAATTGCTTCATGAATTTAAAGCCGTCAGAAATTTGCAAAAAAATATCCTGGTGGTTTTTATTGTTGGTGGTGGTGGTGGTAGATCTTGTAATCCGACTTTTCTTCCTCTTCCCCCAAAGCCCGATTCGCCTTGAAATAAATCCGAAATTGGGAAGGAGAAAAAAAAAAAAAAAGGAGCCCAAGACGAACGAAGCAAACAACAACAACAAAAAAATTCACTTTAGTAAAACACTCATAATGGAAAATTTCCCCCGAAACACACGCACACACAAAAAAAAAAAAAAAGAAAGAGGAAAAAAAAAAACCGACGCCCTTCACTCCCCCCCTTTTTCCTCCAAAAACTACATCAGCGAAACGTGAAGGTCCTTAGTGTCTGATCTGTAGTTACATCTTGGAACAGGAAAAAAAAAAAGGGGGGGAGGAAGATAAATTCAAAAAAAAAAAATTTTGTTGGAAGTCACGTTTGTGCTGCTGCAGCAGTGCGAGCAGAAGAGTCAACTCCAGCGGCGGCGGCGGCGGCGGCGGCGGCAGCACCACAGCGAGGGCTCGCCGAGTCTTTTTTCCAAGCGCCGCAGCCAATGAGAGCGCGGCTAGCCAGCCCAACTTTAAATGGACTCTGCTTTCATACAAGTTAGGGCTCCTCGGCCAATTCCCCGCCGGGCGCCAGCCGAAAACTCCCACAGCCGAGCCCCCCGGCGCCCGCCTCCCCCGGCGCCGGCCACCCGCGGCCCCGTCCGGAGGAAACCCCCCGCGCCGCCCCGTCGCCCGGACACCCCGGGAGGCTCCACGACCCCTCGCCGGGCCAGCCCTCCGGCACCGCTCCCACGCCAAGCCCGGGCGTGGAATTGAGAGAGGCTCCCTTGCTCCCTGCATGGCACGCTCCGTCGCTCCACCTCACCCCCTTTCCCGAGCTCGGCCGCTCCAGCCCGCCCCCCTCTCCCCCCGCCACTCCCCCCCGCCCCCCCGCCACCCCGCAACCCGGGGCCGCCGCGCACGGGCCCGCGACCCCCCGGCCCTCGCGTGTCTCACCTGCAGCCGGGCCGCTGCGTCCCGAGTGGCCCCAGGACGCCCGGCCCCGGGGGCTGAGCCGCCTTATTCCCGGGGCACCTTAGAATGGTTCCCCCCCCACCCACCCACCCACCCCCGCCTTGATCTTCTGGAAGTTGTAGTCCCCCGACTACAAAATGGCTATGGCCACGGGCGCGGGGAACTACAACTCCCAGCGTGCCCCGCGCGCCTGTCACTCAAGTCCCCTCCCTCCGCCTCGCCCCGCCCCGCCCCCCCCACCCCCCCGCCCGCGCCCAGCCCAGCCCCTGCCCACCAACGCTCGGACGTGTCCCGCGTGCGACACCGCGAGAGGCTGGCTCGGGATTGGCCCGCGGAGCGTGTGGTCCGCGAGCGAGGAACTCCCCACGCCGGCCGGCCGGCCCGCCCCCGACACCACCACCACCACCTCCCCCCGTCTCCCGGGGCGGTGTAGGGGTAGGGGGGGGCGGCGGCCGTCCGCGCGCGCGCGCGCCCCCCGTCCCCCCCCTCCCCGATTCCGGCGCGCCCCGCCCCCACCCGCGGCGCGAACCGCCTGTGGAATCGAGGAATCGCGGGCGCGCGCGCACGCGCGCTCCCGACCGGACCGAGCGACCCGGGGCGGAGAGAGGGGGGTGGGGGTGGGGACGGGGGAGGGAGGGAGGGACCCGCGGGGGGGGGGGGGGGGGACCCGGTCGGACGGCCCCGGACCGGAGCGCGCGTGGGGTGTGTGTATTGGGGAGGGGGACCCGTGTCCAGCGAAGGGACCCCGCGAGCGCGCGTCCGAGAGGGAGACCCGGGCCACGCACCCGGAGGAATCCTCGGCGCCAACTAGTTGCGCGGCGGCGGCGGCGCCGGTGTCACCTCAGGACACCGCCTCGCGCCGCCGGGGTTCGCGGCGCGTGTGGCGGCCGCCGCGCGCGCGGGGCGTGGAGGGGGGTTGGGTGGGGGGGGGGTCCGGGCAGGCCGAGGTCAGCTCGGCGCTGTCGCACGCGCCGTGGCGGCGGGTCCCCCCCGCCCCACCACCACCACCACCACCACACCCCGCCCGAACGACCCCCGCCACACACACACACACACACAGACACACACCCCTCAACCCCACCCACCTCCCTCCCCTCACGGCGCGGCTCGCGGTACAAAAGAGAAAAAAAGAAAAAAAAAACGGCTCCCGCGCGCGCGAGCAGCTGCTGCTGCTGCGCCCCGGCACGCGTGTCCCGGCACCTGAGCGCGCCTCAGACGCGGCTCCACAGGCGCGCGAGTCCGTCCCGCGGGCGCGGCCACCTGAGGCAGCGGAGAGGGGTGGGGGCCGCCTACCTGCCCGGGGTGAGGCAGGGGGCGGTGCTGAGGAAATGGGGTCGCGGCGGCACGGCGTGGACGGGTTGCCCCCCTCGCCGCCGCCGCCACCGCCGCCTTGGTTTCCTGTGCGTCGCGGAGACTTGGGTCGGTTCCCTCCTCCTCCTCCTCCTCCTCCTCCTCCTCTCTTCCTCCTCCAGGCTGCCCTCCAGGTCAGGGGGAAGCGGGCGAGGAGCTCCCGAGGGCTCCGGAGCTGCCCCGTCACCTTCCAGAACCCTCAGGGTTGCCTGTGGTGCCGCCCGGGGCTGCGGTGCGACCCGCGACCCCCGGAAAGTGGCCGAGAGCCTGCAGGACACAAGACCTGCAGAGCAGCATAGGACAGGGGGGAACTTCGGGAGACCCTCACTTTGGAAGGTCAACCTAGAAGAGACCCCGACTCCTCAGAACGAAGCGCTCGCTCAGGGGAAGCTAACACGGAAATTTGAGGGTTTAAAAAAGAATTCATTTATTTGGGCTACAGAGTTAGTACAGCGGGTCGGGCACATGCCTTCCCCACCAGCCAAGCTCGGTTGGATCCCTGATGCCACATATGTTTACACACACACGCACACACACACACACACACACCAAGCCCCACCAAGAGTAAGCTCTGAGCCTGGTGAGGCCCAAAATGAAAACGAAAATAAAGGAATTTGTTGGTGGTGGTTTGGGAGCCAACAATCAACTTGAGTCCTGGGGAAGGGGCTCACTCCTAAGTGCCCCCTTTGTTGTTCACTGGGGGGCCATGGGGTGCTAGTTGGGCACCATCAGAAAGATCAGTGACCTTCTACGACATCTTTATATCTCAACCCGGTGTTTGTGGGTACCTTCTGCTAGGAAGAGCAGAGAGCACTTAGCAGTCCCACCCGAATGATTTTTAGGGTCAGGTTACAGGATGGTGTATTCGAAAACCACTTTTTTATCATTTCTGACTTGTATATCAGAGCATTCTCCTTTTCCTCTCAGTTCTGCGGAGCTTGCTGGAGATTTCATGTCAGATCTCATTCCCCAGGCAAAATATTAGCAACTGGAGGTGGGTTTTTTTGGATTCCCTCAGCCAGCCCGCAGTCTGGACCTGTAGGTTCAGGCTCTGTGGACTACATAGCCTGAACGCTCAGAGCTTACTCCAGATCGCACTCAGGGATCGCTTCCTGGGGGACTCAGGGGACCAAATGGGGGTGCCAGGGATAAAATCCTGGTTGGCAACATGCAAGGCAAACGCCCTTCCCTGTCTGCTATAACTCCAGCCCCTCTCTCCTGGCACTGCAGCACTTTGGTAGAGACCCCCGGTCACAGAGTCAAAACTGATGAGACTGGAGAACAGGGAAAGGAGCGGTTGTGATATCTTTAGTGTTGTTTTCCTGAAATGGGCAATCCAGAGTCAGTGTTTGGAAGCCTCTCCTAGTGTGGACGAAGCCATTCTGAGAGGTCGTCTCTCCCTGCCGTCTTGTCAAGGCCATGTCTGCCTTGCCTTTTCTTCTTCCTCCTCTTCTTCACTTCCTCTCAGTCTGATCCACTCTTTCTCCTAATGAACTTCACTCATGACAGCACTGCTCCAGACCTGTGATGTCTGGGGGGGCCTCACTCGGCCCACAGCCTCTCTGGGACGTGAGTCTGCAGTGCCCTCCTCCCTGAGGAAACAGAAAGGGAGCCCCAGAGTCATTTAAAAAAACACTGCACAGGGTGGAGCAGGTAGGGCGTTTGCCTTGCACGTGGCCAACCGGGGCTCGATTCCCAGCATCCCATATGGTCCCCTGAGCACTGCCAGGAGTAATTCCTGAGTGCATGAGCCGGAGTAACCCCTGTGCATCTCCAGGTATGACCCAAAAAGCAAAAAAAAAAGAAACGCACCGCGCACACGGGGTTGTAAAAGCAGACTTTACAGTTGGTTATCTCTCTCAAAAAAAATGTATTCGTTAGGAATATGAAAATGGTGCTCAAAGGAACAGCAAGGTGGGTGGTGGGGAAGGGGGGGGAAAATTAGGGAATTTTGAAGGATGCGGAGGACATTCTGCAGTTTGAAGCTCTTCTGCAGTTCTGCAGTTTCTGCAGTTTGAACAGCTCGTGAGTGTAAAGAAGCAGAGAGATGGCTCAGAGGATGTGCCTGCTTTGCTTGCAGGAGCCCCCACTTCAATCCACAGCACAGCCCTGGCCCTCCCCTCAGGCAGGAGTGACCCATAAGCACTGAGTTGAGAGTAAACCCCCAGTACACACCATCGCCACCATATTTGGCCCAAAAACAGGTAAGAACGAGTGTGAGAGTCCTGGAGAAATGGCTCAAAGGACTGGGGTGCACCCTTTCCGTGTAGGGAGCCCTGGGCAGCACTTGTTATTTTCCCCTGTCCCTGCTTACACCGGAGCAAAGAGTGGCCCCTGAGAGAGTGTGGCTCAAAAACCAAAATAAGAAAAAGTTATAAGATCACAAGACTTAGAGAAACTCAGCACACCATGGCTAAGGTTTGTTTAATAGTGCTTGTGAGTAACTCAAGTTGGGGGAGGATGGCGGGGGCAGGAGCCCAGACCAGAAAGGCTCTGTCTATGAGACAGAGCATTTGCCCAGAAAGTGAAAAATAAATAAATAACTTTAAACAAAATTTTTTTTGGGGGGGAGGGTGTCATACCAGCTCAGGGCTTATACTCCAGGGGTGCTAGGGATCCTTGAATCCAGGTCAGACTTTGGGGAGATTTTTACTGTAGCAAATGAGCATTTTTAGTTTTATCTGTTTGACGTTCTTGGGCCACACCCTGCAGTCCTCAGGGCTACTGGAGGCTCTGCGCTCTGGAATCACTCCTGGGAGGACTAGGTCAGAGACCTTTCCTGGCGCAGACAGAGGGACAGAGACGAGTAAAGTGAAGAAATAGACGTTTCTTCATATATGGTGCCAGAGATGGACTCGGCCACGTGCAAGGCCTTACCCCGCTGTCCTATCTCTCAAGCCCCCGCTGCTGCACATTTTGAAAAGTGATTCTGATTCTGAGAGAGATGACATCGATAACCGGAGGGGAGAGACCCTAGG